GGGAACACAGTTCCCGACAGACCACGACAAGGATGACAGCGAGCAAATGGATGTAGCCGCAAGGCACCAGGGACCATGGTGGTGGAGCTGGGATTTCCAACGCCTTGGTCCCAGACTGGAGGACTCAGGTGGAGGAGTGAGGCCAAGAGAAGGGCCCTGTGACACAGAGGAAGTGGGCTGTGCGGGTGAGCGAGAGCAGAGAGCAGGGGATCTGTTGTCATGGGGAAGGAAGGTGCAAAGGGGGATGGAGACAGCATGGAAGGAGAGTTCTTGAAGACATGGACGCTAAGGAGGGACAAGGTGGGAGGAGGGTGGGACTGGCAGGAGCACCCAGGAGGAGCGGAGGAGCCAGGTCTCAGGCAGGGCAGGAGAGGTAGGCTGAGACTGGGTGCATTTGTGTCGATGTGGGGAGGGGGGTGGGGGGAGAGAAGAGTGAGTGCTGATGACAAAACTGCGGTGGTGACAGGAAGAAGTAGAAGATTCAGAGGCGCATGCTCCCCAGAGTATAATGAAAGGACATGAAAGGAATCAGGAAAATTTAGGGGAGTCAGGGTTGTTGGGCCCTGGAAAGGACCCATAGCCTGGGCCACTGGGATGTGAGCGTGGAGAGCAGAGTGTGTGGATTTGGTACAGTACGTGTGACGCAGAGATGTCTGCATCTGCTGGAGCAGTGGGTGTGGGGCCAGGTCAAGGAGGGAGGACACATCTGAGAACATGACTCAGGCAGTGGAGAATCACAGATGGTGCTGGGAGAAGGCAGGATGGTGCAGGTGGGACAGTACCTCCCTATGCAGTTCAGGAAGAAAGCAGGAGGAACGAGCAGCCTGGGCCCAGGAGCTGGGAGAGCAGAGGGTGAGTTGACAGTATGTTGGAGAGCAGAATAGAGGAGAAGTGTTCCCCAATGGGCAGGAAGAATGAATTGGAGCAGGTTATGGAGCCCAGCACCTTAGAGAGGTGAGCTTGTTGAGAGGATCAGGGAATGTGCTGCAGCAGCAGGGGCACGCCAAGGAGCAAGAGTGGGTGTGAATGCAGAGAGTCCTCTTTTTTGCCCAAAAGGGGCAAAGTGTTTGATGCAGGTCATGGAGAAAGCATGGTATGGGTAAGACAAGGGAGGAGTGAAGAAGAGGTGAGATGAGGCCACAGGAGCAGGGTGCAGAGGTCTTGGCACCTTGGGAACATTGAGGGCAGTGTGTCAGTTAAGGGCATGGTGAGATGATGAAAGGCCAGGGGACACAACAGAGAGACGAAACCACTGTTCCTTAGAGGCAGGACTGAGAATGTAGTGACCACTGAGAATACGGGATGATTAGGGGTGAACTGAGACAGCAGACAGACTCAGTACAGCAGGCTGAGGACACGGACGCTGGCAGTGGTGGCACTGGTTGGGGGCATGGCAGGAAGGGGTCAGAGCTCAAGAAATATTCCTGAGTCTGTGGATTGACTTGGAGGCGGCAGGGCACCGGCACTGGATGTTGAAGATGAGGTGGAGTGCGTTTGGGAGATGACCGTGGAGGAAACCGTGGATGGGTGGTGTAGGATTTACATGTGAACCTTGTGTGGAAAAAGTGAGATATTGAAGTGGGGCAGCCTTGCAGAGGTGGTGTGATACAAGTGGGGTCCTGGAAGCTCATGGGAAAAGAAAGATTTGTGGTGCATGAGGGGAAAGAAGATCATGAGCCCGTGGGGAGCTTACTGCCCATACAGGGTCAGATGCAGAAAAGGGGAAGGAGGAAATCAGAGTTCCCCAGATGGGGCTTTATCAGATCTCAGGGAAGTTGGTGCCATGCCTCTTACCAAGGCCAGCCCATAGGACTAGGGCAGGGTGGAAAAATCCCAGGCTTTTCAGAAGTGGATCCTTAGGAGAAAGTAGGGAAAAAGCGCCTAAGTCGCTCAGGGTAAATGGAGGAAACGGGGCATCACTGCACATTCAGGCAGCACGTGCATGACAGGTAACCTTGGGGCTTGGGATGGTCTCATATGTTTTGAGTCCATTATGTTGGCAGAAAGATGCTTGCAAGTGTTAGAAAGAACTAATGGAGAGGAGACAATTCCCAGTGACCACTGCGTCTGAGCTTTTGTTGTCAAGGGAGCCTGAGAGGATGGAGGAGGTGTAGCTTGCAACTGAAAATACGCACTACACCACACTTCACCACAGAGGCGCATGAAGTAGAAGAAGGGGCCTTCAAACATAGGTAGCATCTTAGATTTAGTGGGAGATTAGGTCAGTAGTAAATGGGCACATCGGAAGGCAGTATGCCCAGAGGTTGGAGAGGATGAAGGTTTGGGTGCTGACACAGGTGCTTCATTTTTGGAGACTTTTTCAGAAGGCAGAGAGGAAGAAAGGAAGGACAGGATGAATGGCAGGACCTGTGTAAAAAGAAGGTCTTAAATTCTAAACAAGGGTGTAGTAAAGGCAGTGTGGCCAAGAGGGAAAGAAGAAATGGTGGATCCAGATGGCTTCAATGGGTAGTGCAAGATCAGGATGACGGGCAGGGGTGCATCAGCTCATGGGGGCCCTATCAGAGGTAAATGGAAATAATGGAGGTGAGGAAAGGAGGAAGTGGCAGGATTGGCTGGAGAGTTTTGTAGGAACTCACTTCATGGAAGAGAAAGAGAAAAGAGGAAACAAGGCTAAAGTGGAAGAGGGGAAGGAAAAGGCAGCTTAAGGAAGGCATTGGCCTTGCCTTAGGAAGTGGATGAGTGAAGATCTGGAGGAACAACAGAAAACAGTGTTGAAGAGAAGCTGGGATAGGGAGAGGATGGAAAAGTTTGAGTGGTGAGAGCAGGTCAAAGCAGTTGAGCGCATCCCTAGAGAAGAGATGACCGAGTCGGATGAAGCAACAGGACCTGGGTGGTTGAGAGAAATATAGACCACAGACAGGCAGGTGCCTTCCCTTGGCCAAGGAAGCAAAGAGACGAAATGTGTCACAAGGGGAAAGCCTGCAAAAAAGAATGTGGAAGTGGGACGATGAGGCAGCGCAACTGGGGAGTCACCTACAGAAGACAGACAGGGTGGAGGGTCCCCCAGGGAAGGATGGAGGGCAGAGAGTGTGGTGGAAGGGAGCCGGGCAGGACAGCCACGGGCAGGACAGCTACAGGCAGGACAGCCACGGGTGGAGCCAGGTGAAGGGGGAGGTCCCAGAGTAGGAACAAAGGAACCTAGAGTGCTCAGGGCACGCCGCAAGGTTTGGCATGGGGAAGGGGAGGCATAAAAGGGGTGGACAGCAATGGGCAGGAAGGAACGGCTGCTCTTAAAGCCTTGAACTTTATTGCAAAGGTGCAAATCTTGGGCCAGGCTATTTACTATGGATCTGGTGGGGAAGGGTTGTTTGGTGGGGATGGAGTATGGGGTAGTGTCTGGGTTGGGGTTGACTGGGTTGGAAAGGAGGGAAGGACTGGGAGCAGTGGGGTATGAGTGGGAGAGGAAGTTGGGAACCAGATGGGGAGAACCAAGTCAAATTCTGGGTTGGAAAAAAACCTTATTTAACTGAGCTAGTGGGTTACATGTCTAATGCTGACGGTGATGAATACAGGCTGGGGAAGACTTCTGAATCCACCAAAAGAAGTAAATGATAGTGGTTTCTTGTAGGTCAAAAGGTCAAGGTAAATGGTTGGTTTTTAGGACACAACTGTGAACTTGGGAAGCAAAGGGGGAAGTTTCTGCAGGACTGTCTTGTCAGGGATCTGAAAAAAGGAGGCGGGATTAAGGAAAACTGACAATAGTAAGCACCCATAATAAACAGGTTGAGACCGAAGATATTGACACAGTGCCTGAGAGTCCTATCAGGTGGGAGGACAAGAAGTATGGGGTGGGGAACAAGTCTCCAATGCACACTGGTGTTTGGGGTCAGAGGTGTGTTAAAGGGCAAATAGGGAAGGAATGAAGTGGTTCCAAGTAGAGACTGCCAGGCCTAATGGGGGTGGGGAGGCAAAAGAGATGTTTGAGTGGGAAGTTTCATGGCAGGAATTAGAATGGTCTGGGTGTGAAACGAGGGAGTGAGGCCTAGGCAGTCAAGGTGGCCGTCCACAGCAGTGATTCTTATCTGGGGTGGGGGGTGGTTTTCACCTGGAGGGAGGGCTGGGGGTATGGACCCCCAGGCAGGCCTATCCAATCATCTGAGGGGTGTTGAGCTCAGAAAAAGTAAGGGGGAAAAGCAGTCTCTAAAAGGAACACAGACAATAGCAAAGGAAGGAACTGAGCCCAAAAGATGATTCTGATAGGCTGCCTTGGGGTCCTGCATCCTCAGGTGAGAATCACTGGTGGACATGGGAGGAGGGAGGGCTGGGCAGAGATGTGAAGTATGAGGGGAAGAGGCACATGTGGCAGGGCTGAGGGAGGCATCAGGTTCAAGACTGTCAGGTATGGGAACACAGTTCCCAACAGACCACAAGGATGACAGCAAGCAAATGGATGTAGCCGCAAGGCACCAGGGACCATGGTGGTGGAGCTGGGATTTCCAACGCCTTGGTCCCAGACTGGAGGACTCAGGTGGAGGAGTGAGGCCAAGAGAAGGGCCCTGTGACACAGAGGAAGTAGGCTGTGCGGGTGAGAGCAGAGAGCAGGGGATCTGTTGTCACGGGGAAGGAAGGCGCAAAGGGGGATGGAGACAGCGTGGAAGGAGAGTGTCTTGAAGACATGGGCACTAAGGAGGGACAAGGCGGGAGGAGGGTGGGACTGGCAGGAGCACCCAGGAGGAGTGGAGAGTTGGGTCTCAGGCAGGGCAGGAGAGGCAGGCTGAGACTGGGTGCATTTCTATGGGGAGGATGAGGGTGGGCAGGTGGAGAGGAGATAGGAGTGAGTGCTGATGACAAAACTGCTGCGGTGACAGGAAGAAGGTAGGAGATTCAGAGGTGCATGCTCCCCAGAGCGTTTTCACACAGTGTGAACAAAAGGACGTGAAAGGAATCAGGAAAGTTTAGGGGAGTCAGGATTGTGGGGCCCTGGAAAGAACACATAGCCTGGGCCACTGGGACATGGGCACAGATAGCTGGGCAGAGCTTGTGGATTCGGTATGGTACGAGTGACGCAGAGATGTCTGCATCTGCTGGAGCAGTGGGTGCGGGGCCAGGTCAAGAAGGGAGGACGCACCTGAGAACATGACTCAGGCAGTGAGAGAATCACAGATGGTGCTGGGAGAAGGCAGGATGGTGCAGGTGGGACAGTACCGTGCTGTGCAGCAGAGGAGGAAAGCAGGAGGAACGAGCAGCCTGGGCCCAGGAGCTGGGAGAGCAGAGGGTGAGTTGACAGTATGTTGGAGAGCAGAATAGAGGAGAAGTGTTCCCCAACGGGCAGGAAGAATGAATTGGAGCAGGTTATGGAGCCCAGCACCTTTGAGAGGTGAGCTTGTTGAGAGGATCAGGGAATGTGCTGCAGCAGCAGGGGCACGCCAAGGAGCAAGAGTGGGTGTGAATGCAGAGAGTCCTCTTTTTTGCCCAAAAGGGGCAAAGTGTTTGATGCAGGTCATGGAGAAAGCATGGTGTGGGTAAGACAAGGGAGGAATGAAGGAGAGGTGAGATGAGGCCACAGGAGCAGGGGATACATTGTACAGTAGCTTTAGATGGCACTTTAAGGAAGTATAGGCAGAAAGTTGAGAAACTGAAATAATTATGAATGATTATATATTGTTACAAACATTGTTTGATGCAGGTTGTGGAGGAGAAAGCATGGTGAGGAGGGTAAGACAAGGGAGGAATGAAGGAAGGTTAGAGGAGGCCACAGGAGCAAGGGGTAGATGTGTTGGCACCTTGGAAACATTGAGGACAGTGTGTCAGTAAAGGGCATGGCAAGATGATGAAAGGCCAGGGGACACAACAGAGGGAGGAAACCACTGTTCCTTAGAGGCAGAACTGAGAATACAGGATGGCTAGGAGTGAAGTGATACAGCAGATGGATCAGTACAGCAGGTCGAGGACGTGGATGCTGACAGTAATGGCATCGGTGAGGGCAGGGAAGGAAGGGGTCAGAGCTCCAGAAAGATTATTGAGTCTGTGGACTGACTTGGAGGTGGCAGGGCACATAGGACTGGATGTTGAAGATGAAAAGGAGTGTCTAGAAGATGACCATGGGAGGCAACACTGTGTGTAGACTGCAAAGTTTCCATCCGCATGTAGTGAGAGAGAAGCTGAAGTCCGGCAGCCATTGGAAGGCAGTTTTTGGAATGCAAATTGGATGATGGAAGTTTATGGCAAAAGAAAGGACAGGAGGCAGGTAAGAGGGGAGATAACTTTATGAATTTGTGCAGGGCTAAGCATCGGTAAAAAGGGCTGACATGAAATAGGGGAAGGTGGAATGCAGAGTTCCCAAACTGGGGGCGCTGGCAAATCTCAGGGGCACGTCAGTCGTATGTTCGGGGTAACAACATTTAACCTCTCGTAGTAACTACTTCATTGAGTGGGAAAACAGAAAAAGAAAAAACTTTGTGGAGGGTGATGGTAAAGCAACCCCAACCGATATGGAAGGCAGTGTTAGCCAACTGATATGGAGGGCAGTGTTGGTAATCACTGGAAGTCAAGATTTTGAAAGCAAAAGATTAACAATGTAAAATTTGCAAGTGTGGGGGTTACACATAGGTTATTATGTGTTTAATGTGATCTCCAGCAAAATTAGCAGAGGCCAAAATAAAACGAAGTATTAGTCTATTTAACAAGATTGGAATTAAGGGGACAGTATACAGGTTATATCAATTTGGGAATTATTTAGGAATGTTAAGAGTTGGTAAGGTGGGTATTGTTGTCCCTTGATCCAAAGTATAGAATAATGGCAAAGAAGAAAAGTATAATAGAAAGTCCTTGTCATTAGGGAATTTGGTGGCTGCCTTAAAACTCCTTCAGGGAAACACTTCATGAATGCTTAGAGTCAGGAGAATAAACGGTCCCATATAGAGATAGATTTATGAAGCCAAGTCTGAAGGAAGAGCTTCATTAGCAATCCCCAGAATGTCAGTTCTACTAGCCAAGGATGCAGGTGAGTATGTTGGATACCAAGAGAACAGAAAGGAAGTGTTCTGAACACTGGAGGTGGGTCAAGGAGGAAGCTTATACATATTCACATGTGAATCGATTTCAAGGATGGATGAACAAAGACTGGGTGGTACTAATATGGCAGGTTTTTTTTTCCCCTGAGGCAAAAGGCAGAAATGAGTGGGTATACCATGATTAAATTGCATACTGTAGAGATGGGATTATTTAAGTAAAGTCAGCAATAAAAATTATAGATACTGAGGACGATGGGGTAGAAAAGAGATATCAAATAGGTAGGAAGATGGCTTGAAAGGGAATAGGAGAAATTTCAGTGAGTCTGAGGAATGGTAGACTGGGAATAAGACAAGTAAGTGGGTGAATAAGGAGGTCTCAGACTGAGAATCCTGGCATATCTACCAATGGGTCAGATTGTAGGAATACTGATTTTAAAGTCAGGCTGAGGCCAATTCTAGTGATAAAGGAAGGGGGAAGGGTGGCTGAATCGTAATGTTCAATCCCCCTTTTTTAGTATTTGAGTTAAAATTCAGATTAAATGCTTGGCTTAGAAGAATGCAAAGTTTCCTCATTAATATGGATCCCAGTGAGTGAGTGGAGGTGAGTTAAAGAACTCTGAGGCAAATCTTACTTAAGTGAAGTTGTGTTTTTAGTATAGAATGCTGAGTTAATATGGTTAATACTGAACAAAAAATAATGGAAGGGAGACTACAGATTCAGAGAAGAGCTATGAGTCTATCAGATTGTATGGTAGCTTACGATGGCACTTTAAGGAAGTGTAGGCAGAAAGTCAAGAAATTGAAATAATTATGAATAAGTCTATGGCAGGTACTATTTCTAATGGAAATCAGAAAATAAACTCACATACATGTACTATTACAGCTGATCTTAGTATGAATATTTTCTATTAAAGATTGTTTTAAAATAAGTTGTTTACATTTGTCGAAATGGTTCCAGATGATGAGAAATATGATGCAATAAAACCTGATAAATAAAAGCAATACAAAGATTAGAAGGGTTCCAAATAGGTAGTGGAATAAAAAGTTAAATTGGTAGTGGCATTAAACAGGTCCAACATGTGGAACAATCGGTAGAATGTTGTGTATATAACACATATTGTTACTGGTGCAATAAATATTCAGGAGAAACAAAGCTGCTGACAGACAATGAATGCTTGGAAGGAATCTTGCCTTAAAGGCTTTTCTAAAACTTTTTGGGTAAAGGACAAATTCTTGAAGGATGAAAGATAATAAGTAGGACTAATTACAGAGAGACTCATGATGCCCATAGTCTTTCAAGAAATTGCTTTTAAGAGAAGGTGTTATGGTAATATATTGATGTTGGGTTAACGCAAATTTTTCAGATAGGGTAGATTTTTATATATTTATAGAGTAAAGGGGAGGAGGAAAGATTAAACGTAGATTGAAGAAAGGAATAATTGATGGAAAAACTTTCTGGAAGAGATTAAGGATATGTGTTTTTTGAACTCTTGGGAAGACTTGATTCTAGAGAGGATAAAGGGAAAAAGTGGATAGTTCTAGAATTAAACACCAAAAGGTTCTATGTGTCTGGAACCATGTAAAGCAAATTACCTATTATTTCATTTCATTTCATTTCATCTTATAAAAATCCTAAGAGATCAAATAATTTGTCCAAGATTACACAGTCAGTATATAGCAGGGTCAGAATTCAAATCCTCTTCTATCAAACCTATATTCCTTTCTATTATGATATGCTCCTTTCAAGTTGAAGGAAATCAAAAATCAAGAATTTGCTTTGTCATTGTGATTATAAGGGAAAATATTATTTTTCTGAAATGAGACACACTGATGTTTAAGACCTTAAGGTGATAAGTAAAATTTGGAATATCTGTGATGGGAAAATGCAAAAAAGGAGGGAATGGATAAAAGATATCTATTACCATCTATGGCCTGGTATTTCACTTCTTTCATTGTATAACATGATTTTAGATTGGTCATGGATGAAAAATTTGAGAATTCTGACAAAAACTAAATAGAAAGGAGTTTTTAAGCAGGTATATGATGGGTCAAATATAACTTACTACTAACAAAACAAACAATTCCCTATATGCCAAACTTGTATAAACAAAAATCAAACAAACTATCAAGCAAAAGAGTCCATAGCCAGCAGACCAAATGTTGAAATATCTGGGCTAATTTGTAAGATCTATGTTTTAAAACTCCTTAGTGAAGAGGGGCGAGAAAACCTCTCTCCTCTTTTTCCTCTCTTGGTGGAAATGTTTTCTTGTTGTTGGTTTTTTCCTATACTATATATGTAATTTCTATATTGTTTTGTGTATTTTGGTATTATAAAATTGTACTTCTTAGATTCTGTTAATAATGCTTACTGGGGTGTGAGGCACCTGCATTATCAGTAAATTGAACCTGGAGAAGTGGGAGGAGCTAGTATTCTCAATTGGCAAGGGATTGATTCTTCGATGGGTTCAGCATTTCACTTTCCTCTGAAATTAAGTGGGAAAGTAATAGCATCCCTTAAAAAGCAGAACATTGGTGAGAGGTAGAATAGCAGGAGGAATTTTGAAACATGGAGAGATGGCTACTGGAAAAAAACCAATGAAGTGCAGAGTCTCCCAAGATGATGGTAGAAGCCACAGGACTACATTAAGATTGGGCCCAAATACTAGTTTAGAAGAGGGTAAATAAAACTAGCTTTACTTAAGAGTACAGCCAGCTTAATTACTGGCTAGTGGACATATTTCAGACAAATCTAACTGAAGAGAAAAACAGACCAGGAGAGAAAGCCAAGTTATAAGGAAATAGAGAAACCTCACAAAGGGATAAAGGAGGTAATTAAAGGTTAAAGCCAGATAGCCTAGAGCTCAAAGGAGAAATCCTGGAGGCCAGATAGGAAAGTGCCTTCCTACTCAGGGGGTTAGGGATCCAGGGTGGCTGGAGAATAGAAGTAGAGTTCTGCCCAGGGCCAGAGGGAAAAACCTGGGATTCAGACACAGCAGTGGTGCCAACTTGAATCTACCTCGTGCTAGAGTCTGAGTAGCCTGGTCTATCACCCAACACAGATAACACTGGACAGGGGCTCCCAGGAAGCAACATCTAAGAAGGGAGTTTGGAGAGGGGCTAAAAGAAAGCAGGTTAAGCCCCAAATGTAACGGAATGATGACCAGGGATAACTATTTACTAGTGCTTTTATGATTTCTTGTAACTCTGTAACTTCCCCAGTATTTGTTAATTTTTTTGACTTCTGTTTTTCCTGTACTTATGTGTAGTAAAAGTTTTCAAAACATAAATGTGGTGTGTGTGCTTATTTCTTTGAAAACTGGGTAACAGTTATGAGTATTGTGCAATGAATATGAGAAGAGAAATCAAGTGGGAAAATGGCGGTAGGGGAATCAAGTAGAATAAATACTTGACATTCATAAGGGATAGGTCACAAGACCTTCCCAAGTTTCCAAATAAGTAAATACTACTTTTGGCACTAGCTGGCTGTCTTTCAGGGGCTATTTCTACCCCCTGCAAAGACTGCATGTGGGTCAAGTAGAGACTTACAAAGCCCTTCTTAATGTGGACACACATGGTTGGCTAAGCCACTCACTAAGCTGAGACATACTCTCAGACACCAGCCTTATGCTACAGGACCTTCAAAAATGATGTATTTTTAAATGCTGACAATCTACTATATAACCAAGTTCCATCTAACTCGATAGAAACTTCAAGGAGAAGTGGGTCAAAACTCTTCATAGGAGACATCAGGTATATGAACTCTCACAGGGGTCACATTATTCCAACAGAAAGCTTGAGTTCCTTTTTGTGCTACTGCTATGCACACGCAGTTTCTCTTTTAAGATTAAATGTCCAGCGAATTATACTCAGAGATTTAGTTTTAAAATTAGTATGTCTGCGGCAGTAACCAATTTTATAAATATATATATTCACACACACACAAACCCATACACACACACACTCATTATCATTACATTAAATTCTAGAAGAGAATCACATTCTTAAACTGAGCATTTGTCCAGACAGTTGAAGAGCTCACAAGGTAATGCATTCTGAATCACATAAGTATCTCTGCCCTTCTGAGAGTTAGTACCTGCTGTAGGGTCATCATCAGGCAAGCGAACAAGAGTGTAACATATTCCTGGCTGGTTATAAGGGAGGCTGGGGGCTGGGATACAACACAGCACTTCATAGGAATCTGATGGCTCCATCTGCACTGTCACTTTCTCCAGCAGCTGGTCATTGAGAGTGTTGGTGCAGTCAAACTGAAAAGTCAGTAAATGGAAAAGTTGTGAAGAATAACAAGTTGTTATCCTTCCCACTCATAACCCACAACTCAGCTCTGGAACCCACTATACCTTCTATCTCTAAGGAGCAGGGTAGGTCTCCTCCTAAGATTCTTCTTTTGGCAACAGGGAGAGCCTTATTCTTGAGGTCTTTTGTTTATATTATTCACCAGCTTTTTCTCTTTCCTGAGACTGCTGTACCAAACAAGATGGCAGAAGTCTGATCGCTGTCAAATCTAAGTTCTTAGATAGCCCGCTTAATCTACCTTGATGTTAAGTGATGATTTTAAAAAGTTGGTTATACTTTATATTGTCCGACTTCTTCACACATTTCAGTTTTAATGTCCTTTAGATTTTAACCATCAAAAGTTACCCATCACATGAAGGGATCTCTATAGCTCTGCTGTTAAGCAAGAAAACCAGAAATTCTGCCAAATTAATTCTCTATAAAAGAGACTAGAATTATAGGTAAAGGATATTTGTCTCAAAGCATACCAGCTTATACTAAATCCCTACAGGAGCCAATGGTATTATCTTACCTGGAACACAATGTGATTGGTAAACATATGCTTGATACATCGAACAAAATATTCTGTTTCTGCTTCTGTAAGTTGAACAGGCTCAGAAGACTTGAACAAGGGTCCTATATTCATAAACTCAGGAATGGCAGCCAATTGTTCTACCAAGAAAAAAGAATGTGGGATATGAAGAAGACAGACAAAGACTTCACTTTGGATGCTTAAACATGTTTTAGTTTTCACAGCCTAATAGTTGAACATTTAACTAGTATGTCCCCAAGCTTTAGTGAAATAATCTTTCAAGTAAAAGTGAGCTTATATATTCATAAAAGCAAAAAAAAAAAAAAAAAAAGAAACTTAATACTTATTTATTTTAGAATTAGTTCTCTGTTAACCAACAAGATACAGATAAAAACAACAATCCCAGTTAGCAATTACAAACTGGAAAGTTCATGGACTCCAGGTATCCTTGGCAACTATACCATATGGTCTTCAGCCACACACATATTTCCTATACTAAGAACTGATCAAATTGAATAAAATGGGTGGACTTCATTATATTTACAATGCCTAGGGGCAAGATGATTACTTCTAACCATCAAATCATCATACCTTGGAAAATGTCTTGTCTGGAAGGAGCCAACTTCTCTGGCTTACTAGCCACAAGTGTGATTTCTATAAAGACAGATACGAGCAAGTGAGTGAATTTCTCCCCCTACTATCAAGCTACCAATACAGACAGAGATGAGAGCAGACATTTCTAGCAGATATATAATGAGCTATTACTAAATCATACTTATAGGTTATCTGTCACTTCTGGTGGAGGACACTCAAAATGTATTTAGTGAACATATGTTGTGAAACCATCAGGTAAGCCCTAAAAATATAGAATTTACTTTAAATGGACTGGGATGTACAAAAATTACTCAGAAAAGGAAAAACAATTTATTTTTAAAATCTTCTCATGATCAAAATAGGAAAAATTACTTATATCAACAGAAAAATTGAAAATAAGCATAAAATTGTTTCTTCCCAGTTTTGTGTTATAACCACTAAACATTTATGTCTCTTTTTTTTCGTAAGTTTTAAAGTTAGATATTCTTTGGGAATATTTTCATAATTGTGTCCCATAAATTCTTTTAAGACAAACCTCCAATAACAAAATTAATTAACTTAGAGATTATCAACTTCAGAAAATAAAAATAGGAGGTGACAGCACTAATGTTGCTCTGAGATGCACAGTGGCAACTGACTTCAGATACTGTAACATTTGCATTAAAAAAAAAAAACCTTCATCTTGGAGTGTATTACATATTATTGCTTTTATGTAAAAATCAGGAGTTTTTTTTTTTAACTCTAATAAAAATATGTCTTAAATCTAAAAGATTTATGAAGAGTGACAATTAAATGAGTATTAGATAAAATATGCTCATATTTTTTAGTTTCACAAAACTACTTATACACAGAAAAACTAATAGAGTTAATTGTTCCCATTACCTGCTTTCTGTTCAAAGATGGGAGCCATAGCGAGAGGAATTGATTTCATGTCAAATGGTTTTTCTGAAGGCTCCAACGTGTACTGGTGTAAGGCTTTTTCCATCCCTGGTACAGAGACCGTCAAGCCTATGAAACACAGAGAAATCTCAGCATTATAACCTCATGCCAATCCTCGAATCCAAATTTGCAATATTTATCTAAGCTTTCTGAAGGAAGAGAACAATATAACCAAAAGCTTTATAACTTAAATATAAAAATAAGGATATTATTGAAACTGCCTTATAAACTTGTAAACTGACTTATTTCATTCAAGGAAACATGGGAGCAGAGCATACACATTTTCTTTTTTTTTTTTTTTTTTTTGAGACAGAGTTTCGCTCTTGTTACCCAGGCTGGAGTGCAATGGCGCAATCTCGGCTCACCGCAACCTCTGCCTCCCGGGTTCAGGCAATTCTCCTGCCCCAGCCTCCTGAGTAGCTGGGATTACAGGCACGTGCCACCATGCCCAGCTAATTTTTTGTATTTTTAGTAGAGACGGGGTTTCACCATGTTGACCAGGATGGTCTCGATCTGTTGACCTTGTGATCCACCCGCCTCGGCCTCCCACAGTGCTGGGATTACAGGCTTGAGCCACCGCGCCCGGCCTGAGCATACACATTTTCAACAAAATATATGTACCTCCTAGAAAAGAAAGCAACTTAGCTATACGGGAACAATGATAGCATAAGAAAACGGGAAAAAGGTAAACCCATCCAAGAGGGAGTTCAAGGAGAACCAGGAATGTGTGAGCAATGTTTTTTAAAAATGTAAGGGCCCAATCTATATTCTTATAGATTGTTGCATAGGAATTACCATTACCAAATTAGAAAATATCCCATAAACACAGGTTTCTCTAGAAATGGAAGTGCATTCAAAGACAAAAACCAAGCATTCGCCTAATGAAGTGAGCTCATATGCAAATCATGAAATATGCTTCCAAGACACCATTTGAGGAACAAAAGTGTACATCCTTGGCTTTCACTGACCATTAAAGATGTATGTGGCATTCAGTGCCATCTGCCTCTGCTGCAGCACATTCAGATAGAAGGTAGCTCTGTCTCGTACCTCATCATCAGTATCCATCATACACCTGTCCAGGGGAAACAGAATAGTCATGTCACAGGACCCCAAAGATTTCTAATAGCTCTACTACCAAATCTGAAGGACGGAGCTCAGGTCATCATCTGATACTATCTTTTAAAAAGTGCTCAACAATAGCCAACAGTGGCTCCTAAAGTCTCCACAAATAAATCTTGGGTACTGTTCTGAATTATTAAATAAATATTATTATTGTGAATCACAAGCACTACACAAGTAGGCATTAAAATAACAAGGAGCACAAGAACATGAAATAGCAGTCTGGAGTCTTTTCTTCCATCTGTAACCACATGCCCCTTAGACTTAGACTTCTCTGTAATTAGGATATGGGAGTATGATACTTTCCAAGGATACTAAAAAGATAAATTCAAAATTCAATTGTTATTGCTCAGATGACAATCTGTTTTATGTAAACTAGCCAACCTTTGACTTGTAATTTATCTGCTTCAATTGTAAGATGCAATCACAGTTTGCTAAAGCAAGTCTCTTCCCCATCAGTCATGAAGACAATGAAAAACTATTATTTTCAACTGCATAGTGAATTATCTAATATCATTTTAAAGTAAGCACCTGTTGTACAAATTAAGGCACATGTATTAAGTCACTTTCTCAAAATCATGTGAAAGAAAGCCAAAGTCAAATGTGACATGTACCTAGCACATAAAATGCTATGGAGAACTAATCTTTTAGGGAATGGGGTTGGGGAGAGAAGCTCTATAAATAAGAGTGAGGAGTGATGGAAACATGTAGGCTACTGTGGAAACCAAGGCTAGGACACTTCATGAAGTGTTCGGTCAATAGCACATCAAATTGACTGAGAGGTATACATAGTTACTAAAAAGAGAAAGA